CTGTCTCAGGGGGACACTGTCCTGCTGGCACCCCGACCTCAGACCTGCAGCCACCAGGGCCAGGAGTGAATTTCGACTGGTTGAGACTCCAGTCGCAGGACTGGTTACAGCCGCCCAGCAACTTCCGGATTAGCAGACTCCAGCACCAGTGTGGGTGGCAGAGCCTTCCTGACTTCTGCCTCCACTGGGGCCATTGCATGGCTGGCCGCACCTCCTGCCCACCAGCACCGTCCCCGCACCCTAGATGCCCACCACGCCTTTGCCCAGGGACGCCTCGGCCCTAGCCATGGCTTCTGCTCGCCTGCCAGGAGAGGTTTAAATGGCAGGCCTGCGGCAGCCCTCGGGGCTCCTCTCAGTGGCTCCCCAACTTCCCTTCCAGAACCTCAGACTGACCTGCTGCCTCTCCCCCAGGGCAGGGTCATCCAGCTCAGGTTCTCGGGCTGCAGGCCTGGTCAGCTCCTGCTGCAGGGTCCCTGGGCGACATCCCAGTTCTCTGCCCCCTAGACACCAGTGGAGGCCTCCCCACCCCAGTGGTGACAACCAAAGATGTCTGCAGACGTTGCCAAACATCCCCCGGGGAAAGCCGTGTGGCTGAGAGTCACTGCTCTAGGCCAACAACACACGAAGGGTGGAGAGCGCCCGCCTCCCCGCCTCCCCCGCCTCCCCTCCACCCACGCCCAACCCCTGTGGGGTGGCTCCTGCTGCCAACAGACAGTGGACAGAAGGTCTGGGGGAGAGGAGAGTGGACGGCTGGACTGTGGCCTGACCCTGGCTTCTGCTCCTGGTGTTGGGATTACCTTGTGAGGCTCTAGACAGCCTGGGGGCACTCACAGGGACCCTGCCTGGGCTGTCTCTGTCCCTGTTTCTCCCTGTCAGCTGTTTCAGACACACACAGCAGGCCTTTGTATAAACTGTTATCCATCAAGGTGAATGCCAGATAAATAAAAATGAACGGGCAGAAGTGCAAGCAGCATCCGATCCCTCCCAGGCATGGAGATAATATGCTGACACTCTAATGGTTGTATTAACAATGTAATAGACCCAGTGCCGGGGGCAGCCGGCTCACAGCAGCCAGCAGAGCCCAATGTCTGCCCCACCCGGGACTCGGCCAGGCCCTGGGCTCACGGGCTCTGTGGCCCGGTCAGCCAGCAGTCCAGAGGTCCAGTGGCCCCGAGGCGTATTGCATCCCCAGGTGGCCACCCAGACTCCGAGGAGTGCAGCAGCCTGGGCAGCCAGCTGGACACTGGGCTGGGCACCGGGCCTGCTCCTCCAGACCAGGTTCTCCCCCCTGGCACAGCTGGCATTGATCTTTTTGGGAAAAAAAATAGCTTTAACGAATTGCCAGTCGTGTATGGTGCGGCTCAGCCATTTAAAACCTGCGACCTGATGGGTGCACAGCACATTTGTGGGTTTGTGCCGCTGTCACCACAATCAATTTCAGAACATCTTCATCACATTAAAAAAAAAAAACTCTGTAACACTTAGTGGTCACTCCCCATATCCCCTCCCCCCGCTCCCCCCCCCCCAGGCAAGCCATTGTCTACCGTCTATCTCTGTGTGTCCACCTATTTTGTGTTCCTCCCACAGACTGTCTTTCGTGTCCCTTGACGAGCATCTCCCTGCCTCTCTACCTTCAGTCCCCAAAGGCTGCCCCCACACTCTCTCCCCCTCTCGGAGCCACAGCCCAGCACACAGTTAGATGTAGAGTTAGTGGAGACAATAAGGGGTCAGGGAGGAGATGCACTGCAGCCTGCAAGGGGTTGCTGGAGGGAGGAGGCTCAGAACGGAGTTTCGGGCCTGGCAGCCTCTCCCTGCAAGGTGACCTCTGCAAGCCTAGTAACCAACTGAACTCACTGCCAGGGGCTCAGGGCACACCCTCGTGGTGCTGATGGGGAGCCAGGTGAGGAGCAGGGCTGGGTGCTCCCCTGCGCTGTGAGGCATCTGGTGGCCATCCCCACCCCCGGGCAGCTGAGCCCTAGACAGGCAGCTTTCCATCAACCCTGCTCTAGCTCTCGAAGAGGCCAGGGCTGCTGCAGGGGGTGCCAGGGCTCTGACACCCAGGCCTCGCGGCCTCTTCCCGGCCTGGAGTGCTGCTTGCTCTGACACCTGCTGTTCCCTGTTTGCAGAGGTCACCCTGCAGGGAGAGGCAGCCAGGCCCGAAACTCCATTCTGTGCTGCGAAGGAGTGAACAGAGACCTGGTTACTTTGCCACAAACATCCAGGGTGGGAGCCAGGATTCCCCAGAGATTTTCTAAAGTTATCAAAAAGTTCACACACATGTGCATACATGTTGCACAAACATACACACCCACATACGTGCATGCACACACATGGCCCATACACGTGGGCACACCTGTGCAAACATACACCCAGGGGAATAGCATTGTGTTAATAGAATTCAGCTTTTCAGCTCTGCTAAGAAATGTGCAAGGAAAGTTGAAAGCTTCATATCTCAAAAATCGAATCCATGGGCACTTTGAAGTCCAGACACACACAGAAAGGAAGAAAGGCTTCGTCCAGATGCTTCACCCGGTGTGCACTGTGCTCCCACCCAACCTGCTCCCGCCAGAGCGGCTCCACGTTCCGCTGCCTTCACCGGCTGCTTAGAAACCATGCTCCATATTTTTAAAATAAAGGAAGAAAGCCCTCGTGTAATTTAGTGGTGGTTATTTGTCACCCATTCCTGAAAACAAATGCCCACAGCAGTGAAGGCCACCAGATTTATTGGGAGGGAAAGATCTATATTCCCAGGACTCAAGTGACGTTACCAGATTGGGTGATTGCTGCATAAACAATAAATTACCCATTGATTAATTGTGCTTCCAGGGCTTCCTGGAGTATTTTTCATGTGGACAGCTGTGTACACACCAACAGCAAATGGAAAAGGGAAAGGCCAGGGGACCTCGTCCACCACGAAAGGAACAGTGACCACTAATGAGATTTCAGAGCTTCCTATCACCCACGAAGGTCCCTGGACAGCGAGGGATTCCTGGGCGCCCCAGAGACACGAATGCCCTCCCTCCATAAAAATAGATTCAAAACCACGCTCCGGGCTGGGACGGAGGCTCAGTGCTAGAGCACCTGCCCAGCATGCTAAGCCCTGGGTTCCCTCTCAGCATGGAAAATGCATATTCACCCTCTGTGAGATACTACTGCACATCCATTGGAGTAGCTGAAAGGAGAGAGAGAGAGAGAGAACAACAAGTACTGGGCGATTGCAGAATGACGGCGCCCCTCACAGACAGCCAGGGGCCGCACAGGGTGCTCCCCTGTGACGGGCAGATCAGCAGCTCCAGGGGAACTGATGCAGGCTGACCATGCGATCTGCAGTCACGCTCCTTAGCATTGACCCAAATGTGTAGAAAACTTGTGTCCCAGCAAACACCTGCACAAGAGGGCTCACAGCAGCTTGGTTCAGGGTATCTAAACACCAAAAGCAACCAAAATGCCCTTCCATCGAAAGGGATAGTACTCTGCAAGGAGAAAGAGCCCCACCATGCAGACGTGGACGAGTGCAGTGTGCACCAAGCCGTGAAGGACGCCTACCCTTGATGGCTACTTGCCATACAACTGCACAACTACACAATGGGCACACACTCCACCCCTCCAGTGACAAGACTTTCTGGAAAAGGCAAGCCGGCAGAGGCAGTGCCCGGTCAGCGGCTGCCAGGGACTCAGGGAGGGGAGGGGTTGAACTGGCGAAGCAGGTTGTGGGGAGCTGATCCCACGTGACGTGACAGGTGCTTCAACACCCATGGAATTCCACAACGTCAACTGTGCATCTTATTGTGACATTTAAAAAAAAATCAATCAGAAGGTCAGGGGACCCCAAGATGGAAGGAGTCTGCGACAAAAGAATTTAACTAGGGTACAAACGCAGGCCACAGCCTCATGGAAGCTGGCGAGGGGGTCAGAGCCGACCCTGGGGAGCGTGTGCCTGAGCGGAGGATGTAGACACCTCCCAAGGAATGGCAGCGGGCTCGTGGCCCCTCGGTAAGGTGGCTTCCTGGAGGGTCCAGGTAACGATTCTGCAGCCGCTGCACCTGTTCAGAGGGACTGACTGAATTAGTGCCCGGGCGGGAACCAGGGAACAGACCCGCAGGGGAGGAGGAAGGCCAGAAGGAACCGCGTGGGACTGGGGTAGGGTTGGGGGCATCCGTGTGACCTGAGGTCGAGCTTCATAAGCACAGAGACGGAGGGGAAATGCAGAGAGCTCAGCAGGTAGATGGCAGGCAGGCGGACAGCGGTAGGCAGGACCTGGGCGTAGCCGTGGGCGTGGCCGTGGCTGTGGGTGTGATTCCCAGCCCCGTGCACTGTACACTTCCTCTCAAAGTGTGCAGTGTGGAAGGAGGGAAGAGGAGATCATTTGTTTCAAAGACACCAGACAAATTCAGTGAGGCCACCAAGGTCCACATCAACCGTGGCAAGACATGCAGATAGCAAGCACCCTTGTCTGACACGACCAAAGGGCACGCACAGCCTTGGTCTTCCTCCCAAGAACCCACAGCCCCAGTCTGACTTGAGGGAAACTTGACAGGCAGGTCCCCAGCGGCGCACATGCTATAAGGCACCCGACCAGACCCCTTCTACCTTCGACGTCGGCCACCTCAGGGCACAGCATTTGTCTGCTCCAGAAGGTACAGCAAGAGGCACCGTCTTGGTAACAGAGACTGGGCCCTCCCCCGCCCCCAAACCCGCTGGAGACTTGATCTTGGACTTCCAGCTTCCAGCACGTGAGAAATAACCTCAGATGTTTGTAAGTTACCAGTGTAAGGCATTTTGTTGTAGCAGCACGGCCGACGGAGACAGGCCACCAACACGTGCCGCGGGGAAGTCCGACTACACCACACAGCACGGCCGAGCCCAGGGCCTCAGAGCCCCGCTGGCCAGACCAGGCTGCTGCGTCCGCACACTCTGCTCTGCAGGCTGCAGCCCTCTGATGTGCTTAGAAACGTCCATCCTTCAGTTGAAGAAAATAATTTTAATAGTGTTTCCCTTGAAGAGAGGAGCCTTTATTTTCCAGATTTTGTAATTATGTTGTTGAAACAAAACTCGCTTTCCCAGGAAAGGGAGGTGCCTTGGACTGCTCCCGGGGTGAGACGCTTTGCACAGACTGCCTCCCTGATCCCACAGCAACACAGAGGCTCTCATTATCCACACACTGTGAAAAAAACAAAACAGAAAACAAGATTCAAACAGATTAGAAGCAAGGGCCAGAGTCCAGGGCTGATGAGCAGAAGGGCCAGCTCTGGTGCTCAGAGTCCTGTTGGCGATGTTGGGCACGGTCAGCCTGGCTTCCGCAGCCCTGGCCAGCTTGTCCTGCCACAGGGCGCCCCTCCTCCCGTCCAACCTGGGGCGCAGGAGGCCTCTCCCGGCAAGAAGAGCTGAGCCCTAGGTGCTCCCCAGCCAGCGTTGCACGGCTGAGATGGAAGCTAAGCCTCCACCCACGGTGCGGCTTCCACCTGTGCAACCCACAGACCAAGCAGCGCAGAGAATGCCCCCGGAGGCCCACTCTGTCCAGGGTGCCTCTCTCCCCTGAAGCTATCGCCAATGAAGAAGCGACTACCCGGGCAGGCAGAGCTGCCTCCAGCCGGGCACCCACCCAGGGCGGCACAACAGACAGAATCTCAATTAAACAGCCAGGCCCTTGCGGGGTAAGGAAATGAGAGTGAGTGGGAAGGAAAATGATGGAGATTCGGCTGCACACACCAGGAGACAGGAGCTCGTCCCGCTTGGAAACGCGAGTTGTCTTCTGATCTTACTTAGGGGCTTCATTACCTTTTTAATATGCAAAAGTCCTGGAGGTCTCCGAAAGCTTGCCAAACGATCCCTCCACCTCCAGAGGGTATCCCTCACCTGCCTATTGTTGCCATGGCAACTCTCTGGTCCAGCTTCCCACCCCTCTCCCTCTGGGGCCGGCCACTGCCTCCTGCCAGGGGTCCGAGGCCAGCACACTAGCAGCCTGGCCCTTCGCCTGGCCCTGCCCCCTGCAGCGTGGCCACCAGAGAGGCCTTTGTGAAACAGAAGCCGACCCCTCTCACCCACTCAAGACCCTCCATGACTCCCCCTCCACACGGTGCAAACTGTGACCTCCCCTCACTCACCGGCTCCACCACACTGGCCTCCCTGCCCTTCCTCGAGTACCCCACACTCCATCCACCTCAGCCTCTGCCTGAACCTTACGCTCTGGACTCCTGCAAGCAGGCTCCTCCTTCCCCTCCATCCACAAAGTCCTCTCTGGGGAAACCCTCCCTGTTCCCCGACTACCCTCTCTACCCGACCCCCAGGTCACGTTCATCCCAACACCAAGCTCTGTCAGATCCTTCCTGTGGACGAGCTGGACTCAGCGGCCTCTGTCCTGTGCCAACTGGCGGCGACCCCCAGCCACCCCGGGCATGGGCAGGGTCTGCCTCCCCCTACTCTGCCAGTATCCCCAGTATCAGCAACAGGGCCTGGAACACAGTAGGTGCTCACGAAGTGTGTTGTGAGGATGAACAGCCCCCGCACCGTCTCAGTCCTGGCTGCTGTAAGGAAGCCCCTGTAGGTGAGGCTGCGGGGCCTCCCGAGCCAGGTGCCAGCAGCTCAGCCACCGGGGAGGCCAGCCCTGGTCTGCCTCCCGTGGCAGAGGAGCCAGCTCTGGCCTCCTCCCCGGCACAGACACCTGGGCCGCCCGGGGCCTCCCTCCTGACCTCATCTACACCCTGATCATCTCCCAAAGACCTCACCTCCGGACCACACACAGGGATAGGGCTTCGACTCGTGGCTTCCCAGCCCCACTGGCCAGGGAGCCCAGTGGTTAGCTCCCAGCCTGGCCTCAGGGCTTCAGCAGCCCCCCCACCTGCACCTGGGGTTCCAGCACTGCCAGGAGTCCCCAGGTCCCCAGGCACCCATGGGCCACCCCAGAAGGAGCTCAGGACTCATTTCTGCTCTCCTGGGTCATGCTGAAGCTCTACGTCAGCGCCCACCCACCCCCACGCGAGCTCCCAGGGGCAAAGGTCGAGCCTCCGTGCTCCGTCAGAAGCCACGTTTCCCCAGCAGCACCCTTCAGACGTGATCGAGGCGGACCCTGCCCTGCCCTCGGCCGCCCCTGAGAGGAGGGGCCTGGCTGGGGGCAGCTCGGGTCTGCCTCCTGGTTTCTGTTCACAGTCCACCTCCCGCCCAGGCAGCTCTGGCTCACCTTCCAGGTGGTGCGGGGGATGCCAGGCTGGGGCCACCCTGGTCCTCCCAGGTCTGCTGACAGGAGCCGGGACCCATTCAGGCAGCGCCCCCTGGAGGCGTGGGCCCCGGGATGCAGTCGTGCTCTGCCTCCGCCTCGGCGAGGGCCGTGGCCCCCTAGGCCGCTTCCTCCCCTGTTGGGGCCCCTGGGCTCTGTACCTGCAAGCGCAGCAGTCACCATCTCTGATTCCTCCTGCTACCACAGCTTGGATGAGGTCCCCAAAGGCTGGGCGTTGGAGGCTTGTCCCCAGTCTGTGGTGCTGTTGGGACTGATGGGACCTTTAGGAGTGGAGCCTGGTGGGAGGAAGTCAGGTCACTGGGGGTGTGCCCTTGAAGGGGATGTTGGGACCCATCCCTCCCTCTCTCTTTGCTTCCCAGCTGCCATGAGACCAGCATCTTCCTTCACCACCTGCTCCCACCATGACATGCTGACTCACCATAGGCCCCAGTGCCTATGACCATGGACTGAAACCATGAGCCCATAAACCTTTCTTCCTTTTAAGTTGATTATCTCAGTTACTTTGTCATAGTAAAAGAGAAATAACTAATACCCCTGCAAAGTGCTACTCAAAGTCCTAGACGTGATGTCAAACAAACACAAGCAGACTCTCACAGGTGAGAGAAGAAGGTCAGCCAGCCCGGGACCTCAAGGGTGTGGACAACAGAGTGGTGAGTCCTTTTGCATCAGAAACATCAAACTTAGAGCTGGAGAATCCATCTCTTCAAACATTGCTAGAAACAAAGAGAGGTCTCTCTAGCCACGGGACCAGGGAAGGGGCAGCCTAGCACGGGGGAAGGCCTTCAGCAACAACCTCCCACTCTGGCCAAACACTACTGCAAACACAGGCTCCACCGCACCCCACCAGCAGAGGCAGAGTATGACCCTGGACTCCACCCTGTCCGGGCTGCAACCAGAAACCCCAAAGCCCATCAAGATGGTGTCCAGAAAGACTAGGAAAAGGACCAGGACCTTCACCTCTGCCAGCTAGTAACGAGTGCCCCTCCTACCCAGTTAGTGTCAGTGGAGACCACGGGGAGAGGGGGCCACCACTCCCAGACCTCCCAGCAGGAGTGGGAGCACCCACCCCATCAACAGAGGCTGAGTGGGAACCCAGGTGTCCCCTCCACTTTGCAGTAGTGCAGTGACACCCCCTCCCTCCCCCACCACAGCTGGGTCAGGAAAGGCCAATGGAGACGGAAGGTTAGCTAAGATTCAGTCTCACACGCAGGAATGTCCAGGTTCCAACAACTGAGAAATCACTTGTCCACACCCAAACCCAAGAAAACCTCAGACTGAATGCAAAAAGATTGACAGATGCCAATATCAAAATAACAAAGATGTTCAATGGATTGGACCAAGACTTTCAAAGTCATTTGAAATGAAAAAAAAAGAATAGTGAAAACATCATCAAAGACAGAAAATATAAATAAGAACTAAATGGGAACTTTAGAACTAATAAATACTCACCAAAATAAAATGCTCCGTCAACAGGCTTCGTACAACAGCCCGGGAATCAGAGGAAAGACGACGCTTGAATGGGAGCGAGGAACACAGGAATCACCCAATCTGAATAGCAGAGAGGAAGTCACTGAAAACAACGTGCAGGCAGCGTGAAGGACCTGTGGGACGGGAACAAAAGATGTAACATCTGTGTAACTGGAGTCTCAGAGCAAGGGAAGGAGGAGGGTGGGGGCTGGAAAAGTACCTGAAGAAATAATGCCTCAAAAGAATCCCAGCTTTGAAAAGAGACGGGAGCTTGCAGATTCACGAAACTCGAGGGCTGAATGTTCTCTCTCATATGCAAAAGCTAGAAAGAAAAAAGAAATGAAAACAGGGAGTCTCACAAAAAAAATAGAAGAGAGAACAGTAAATAGAGGTAGGGGATCAAGGAGGAGGGACACAGGGAGGGAAAGGGGAAGTGCTAAAAATTAAATTGACCAAAGTGTGCTACGAACATGCGTGAATACACCCCACGGCGGCTCGCTGTTACGAATGATTAAATGCACAAATTTAACATCACAGAAAAGTACACTCTGTACCAGTAGAATAGGGGAAGGGGATGGGGGGGAGGCCGGAAGGGAAAAGGGAGGCACTGAAGAGGGAAAAGGAGCATATTCTGTCATGAGCACAGGTGACTATGTCACACTGACCCACTCTTAGATAATTATCACACAGTGATAAAAACCTGATTAAGAAGGTCAATGAGTCCTCTATCGGTGAGAGTTCCCCATAGAAACAGAATCAATAGGAAAGACGGATGGATGGAGTCTAAGAAAGGGGCTTGCATGACTGTAAATGTTGGTAAGTCCCAAACCTGCAGCGTGGGCGGGCTGTCAGGCTGGGACCCAGGCATGTCCAAAGGCCACCTGCTGCAGCACCCCTTCTCACTTGGAGAGGTATCTCTGGTTCTCTTCAGACCTCCAAATACCTGGGTGAGGCCCACCCACATTATGGAGGACCTTCAGCTTCACTCAAAGTCCACCGGCTGAAATGTTAATCTCCTCCGTAAAAGTCGTCACAGAAACATTCAGAACAGCATCGACCACAAACCTGGGCACCATGGCCCAGCCAGGTTGACAATATAAAAGTAACTATCACGAATCCAGAACAAGAGGAGCCCAAAGAAACCCACACCAACGCACATGATGATTTAAAAAGACAAATAAGAACGTTTTTGAAAGTGTTCTAGAGAAAAATAACACCTTGCCTATCAAGTAAAAACTGATTAGAATAAGAGCAAGTTTTCATTTAAAAAGTCATGGATCCAGAAGGAAGTAGGTCATGTTTTTTTTCCTGTGCTGAAAGAAAAGAACTGTCAACCCCAAAATCGTATAACCAGTAAAAATATCACTGAGAATAAGGGAGAGGGGTCTCAAGATCCTCTCAGATAAGGAAAACAAAGGTGATTTGTCACCAGCCAACCCTAAAGAGTGGCTGACATCCTCCAAACAGAAAGGAAAGCTAAGAGACATAACACTGGGGGGCTGGGGCTGCGGCTCAGCGGAGAGCGCTCCCCTAGCACGTGTGAGGCCCTGGGTTCCACCCTCAGCACCACATAAAAATAAAACAAAGACATTGTGTCCACCTAGAACTAAAAAACAAATATTAAAAAGAAGACATAACATTGGAGCAACAGGGAGGGGGAGAGGGCAGGGACTAGGTGAGAGGAAGGGTAAGGACAGGGTTCTTCTCTTCTCCTTTTGAGTTTCCTAATCATATGTGATGCTTGAAGCAAAAACTATAAAACTGTGCGATGATATTCTACATTTACCTAGAGGAGATACATAAGGTACTTGTACAATAAACACAGGAGGGCAAGGAGACATCAGCAGGGACAAGGTGTCCACACTTATTGCCAAGGTGACCGCGATCAAGCAGACACTGTAAGTGGCCTGTGTGTGATGCAGTCCCTCAGGCAATCTCCAGAGAAGCCTTACCAAGGGAGGACTCCAAATAAATTAACGGAATCCTGGAAAATGTACTAGTGACCCAGAGGGAGGTAGGAAAAGGAAAACAGAGAAACAAAAAGGAGAGAGATCAACTTAATTACAATACACAATAGGACATCTGACAAAATATAAAAATGACATTAAAGGCACCAATTAAAAGACAGAACTTGGCAGAGTGTATTTTAAAACATGACTCAACTGTATGCTATCTACAGAAATCTCACTTTAAACATAATGATATTGACAGAAAAAAAGGGTAGAAAAATAGACATCATATAAACATTAATCAAACAGAAACAGGAATGCCATTTTAATATCAGATAAAATGGTTATCGGAGCAAAGGAAATCACCAGAGACAGAAAGAGAGATTAGAAAAGATTCAATCTTCCCAAAAGACATAGCCATCCTGAATATATATGCACCAAACAACAGAGCTCCCACGTAGGCAAGGAAAATCCTGGGAGAACTGAGAAGAGACAAATCCTCAACTGTGGATGGAGACTGCACTATCTTCATCTCAACAACTACACAAAGAGTCATCAAGAACACAAAATAGTTCCATGACACTATCCTCCAACAAGATCTAACCAAACTTTACAGAGCATCCCACCTGACCGGAGCCTCCAGTCAAATGCCAGAGCAGAAAATAGGAAGACCTTGGGCCATTAAACAAACTTTTAAAAAGTTAAAAGAATTGAAATTACACAGCGTCTTCTCTAAACTAGAAATCTATAACAGAAATACAACATTAGAATCTTAAACACTTGGAAGTTAAACAGAATACAGCTAAGTAATCCACTGGTCAAAGAGGAGGCCTCTAGTGGAATCATGGAGTGGGCTCAGACATATCAACTGTGCAAAGGCAGAGCTAAGAGTGAGACTTATAGTATTAACCAGACAAGAAGGAAACGGTTTGTAGGATTAAGTAGAAAAGAACTAGCCTCAAATCAATAATCTAAGTTTCCCACTCAAGAACCTAGAAAAACAAGAGCAAAACAAACCCAAAATGAGAAGTAAGGAAATAATAAAAACAAGAGCAGAAATCAATGAAATTGAAAGCAGGAAAACAATGAAGAATATCAATGAAACAAACAGCTGGTCTTTGAAATTTTCAATAAAATTGACAAATCTCTTGCAAGAGTGATCCTCAAAAAAACAAAGACACAACTTACCCTTATGAGGAATGAATCAGAGGATCATCTCACTATAAAACCCACAGACACCAGAAGGATAAAAGGAAATATATGGACAGCTCCCACATGTAAATTGGACAGCTTTTACTAAATATTCCCCATCCTTGATAAAGACAAACCACCATAACCACCCAACATGAAACAGAGGGCTTGAACAGCTCCATAACTACTGAGGATATATTAAATTTGCCTTTTTAAATTTCTCAAGACAGACTTCTTCGGGCCCAGAGGATTTCACTGGAGAATTCTATCAGATGCTTAAAGAAGAATTAACACCATCTCCACACATCTCTTCCAGAAAGTAGGCGGGAAGAGAGCACTTCCCAGTTCATTTTATAGAGTTAGCCTTATTCTGATATGAAAATCAGACAAGTACAGCACCAAAAAAAATAAATACCATTGACCAAAATCCCTCATGAGTAAAGAAAGAAAATTCCTTGACAAAATCTTATCAAGTAGAATTTTAAAGCATTTTAAAAGAATTAGACACCATGACCAACTGGGATTTATTATAAGGATACAAAGCTAGTTCAATGGTTTGAAAATGATTTATGTAATCTATCAAATTAACAAGCTAAAGAAAATAAATCATATCAATCAATGCAGAAAAAAATTATGTCAAAATCTATATTCATTCATGATAAAACTCTTATAGAAAGTCAGGATAAGGGGTATTTCCTCAATTTGATAAATAACATATACCAAAAATCTAAAGCCAACATTTTTCTTAATGGTTTAAGACCAAATGCTTTCTCCTGAAGATTGGTAAGAAGGCAAGAGAATCCACTTTTATTGCTCCTATTCAAGTGGTGCTAGAAGTTCTAGCTGGTATCATAAGGCAAGAAAAGCTTTAAAAAAAGTATACAGATCAAAAAGGAAGAAATAAACTCATCCCTATTTGCTTTTCTATCATAAAATTGTAAAGAACCAACAAAAATACATGTAGAACTAATAAGTGAGTTCAGAAAGGAGAGAGGATACAAGATGCAAAATTCAATTGCATTCTTATACCCTACCAATGAACAAGTGGATTATGAAATTAAAAATATAATACAATTATGGCAATCAAGTGAATTCACATATCCACCACCTTCTGTAATTATTCTTTTTATGTAATGAGAACACCTGAGATATACTCTCTCAGAAAATTTCAAATATGCAATACACTATTATTGACTATAGTTAACACTTTGTACAAAGTATTATTTGCACATCTTAAATACACATAATTTTTGTCAATTATACCTCAAGACTGTTTTTTAAAAGAGCATGATAATCACCAAAAAGTTAAATACTTGGTTGTAAATCTAAAAACATCTGTGCAGGACTTACAAGCTCACACTTCACAACACTGAAGAAAGAAATCAGAGAAGCTACAAGCAAACGGAGAGATATACCATGTTCATGGATGGAAGGCTCAACCTAGCAAAGATGCTATTTCTCCCTAAATGGATACACAGGTTTAACACAATTTCTATCAAACCCCAGTAAGGTTATTTTGTAGGTAGAAATAAGAACATAATAAAAATTGATTTTGAAAGGCAAATGACCTAGAGTTACTAAAACAATTTTGGAAAAAAGAAAACATTAAAGGAACAGAATAGAGAAATAATAGACCCACCAATGTGTCCAGCTGATTGTGTGTTGTGTGCGCACATGTGCACATATGCTGGGCTTGAACCAGGGGCCTTATGCGAACTAGGCAAGTGCTCTGTCACTGAGCCACATGCCCAGCTGTCCTGCTGATATTTTGGCAAAGGCACAAAGTCAATTAAATGGAGGAAGGATAGTGGACAATTAGACAGCCAAAAAATAAAACAAGAAAGGAAAAAAAAGAATGACTTTGTTCTTTATTTTTAAAAAAATTAACTCAAAATGCACCCAAAACAAATTTTAAAATTTTAGGGAGGTGGGGAACAAGACAACTAGCATTTAGGAATAGGTAGAGCATTCTCAAGTCTGATACCAAAAGCACAACCCCTGAAAGAGAAAACATGATAAATTGAGCTTCATCTAAATTAAAAATGTGTGCTCTGAGAAAGATCCTTCAAGAGGATTCAAGGACAAGCTACAGAGGAGAGAAAATATCTACAAGCCATGAATCTAATACAGAACTCTGGAAACCAACAGTACGAAGCAAACAATTTTCAGTAATATCTGGTGTGTGTGTGTGTGTGTGTGTGTGTGGTGGGTTACAGGTCACAGACTGTTCTTCTGTCTGTTGTCCTTTGTACAATTCTGCCTGTCTCAATTTACATGGTGCCGTGGCTGTCTCTCTGATGGAGGAGATGGAGACTCAGGATTCCCAGGAGACAGGAATGAATTTTCTTTTTTTTTTCAATATTTGTAATTTGCTATTAATTGCTTAGAGTATACAACGTGACACTGACCATCCTAACCATTTCTCAGTGTACAGTTCAGTGCCATTAATCACATTCACGTTGCTAAGTAACCATCGCCACCACCCATCTCCAGACTTTTCCTCATCTTGCAGAACAGAAACAGAACTCCCACTTCTCTCTCGCCCCAGCCTGGCAACCACCAACCACTCTGACTGTGGACTTGACCGTTCTGTGCCCTGCTTGCTGGTGGAACTCGCTGCATCGCCCCTCTGAGTCCAACTTGTTTCATTAACATGACGTCTGCAAGGCTCCCAAGGAGGAAGCCTGGTCGGATTCCCCCTCCCTGGTAATGTGTTTAGCTCCATCGGGAGCTGTGGATTTGAAGTGTCACTCCTAAAGGAGTCTGGATAGGGCATCTGCCCTCAGGGAGGTGGGCCTGCTTTGGGGGTCATCTCCTGAACCCCTGTGTCAGGAGACTTTGGACACGCCCCATCCTGTCCCACGACAGGTGCGTCATGCTGACTTGTTAAAAAAACAGAACAGACGCGGCCTGAGGAGGTGCCCAAGATGGATGGGGAAGATAAAAACAGAATCGGTTTTGGAAAAGACGCACGGTTATGGGATGGCCGGTGCAGCCCAGGCACAGGAGGGTTAAGACCACTGGGGACCTGCTAGAGAGCAGGTGACAGGATCAGGAGGTGGGGCTGGGGTGAGAACTGGGGGATGATGGCCCTGGTGTTCCTCTCACTGCAGGCTTAGTGCTGCAAGGCTGCACAAATGTCACTGGGACTGCCAGAGCTAAGGAGGGTTAAATGGTTCTACAAAACCGCTGTTCATCTATTTTATGTCGTGCCTTGGAAGACACGGAGGCCACAGCCCTTGGTTATCAGCGAGAAGAGGAACCATAAACATCTGAGAACAGCAGGAGACCGTCGGGGGCTCTCTCTGTCCTTGAGAATATCCATTCCAAAATGATTCCATTCTGCCCATCAAGGAGCCAGAGAAAATCATCCTTTCATAGAATTTCTTGGGAATCTAGTCAAGACAGTGTGCGTGTCTCCCTCAGATAACACTGCTGTATTATAGGCACTTAAATAGATCAGTGGGCTGTGGAGAAAGAAGACACCCATTTAAGCAGAGGGTCTGAAAGGGAGGTGCAGCTCCAGGCAGGCGGGCGGGGTGGCCGCGGAGTGAGCTGCACATTCCATCCCCAGTGACAACCCAGTCCTTGAAGGACCTCCGGCATCAGCAGTACCCTGCCGGGCCTGAGAACCCCAGCATCTGTATCACTAAAGAGTTTCTCAGGCCCACCCTGGAAGGTCCCAGGGTCCCAGCTCAGTTTCTGCTGAAGGCCACAGTTGAAAGCTGTCCACATGACCCCACCCCAACACCCACACACACAGAGCCCATGGCAAAGTACAGGGGCCCCTGTGCATGACTCCAAACTGGTTTGTCAGGTCTCAGCCACAGCCATGTCCAGGGCACCCAGAATGGGACTCGAGGAGTCCAGAGGTGGCTGGAATTGTTGGTTTCTGCAGAAAAAGGCTGTGAGCCCAGCTGTGCGGGTCCCCCAGGGGTGAGTGGGGGAGGGAGAAGCGCTTCAGGAGGCCCCTGGAGGGTTCAGAGTGCACACGACCTGGCGGCAGCAACTGGCTCCCCAAGTCCTGGCCAGTGCCGCGGGCTCCATGCAGCCCCCAGACAAGAGGCCTGAAGGGAGGTAACGCCCACCACCACGGCCAAGCTGTGGTCTCCTGGGACAGAGAACTATGTGAGGGGCACCCCTGGGGTCCCTCGACTGAGGTTCTCCCCTAATGTCTGTGCGGAGTGGACGGCCAGGTCTTAGGACCCACTACAGAACCACAAGAGACCAAGGAGAAGCCTGGCCTCTGTCACAGGCTGTCATGGGAGGGGCTAACCGCCATAATCTCCAGGAAGCCCCAGAGGTCCCAGAGCTAAGTGACCTTCCCTCTCCCACCCTCTTCCTTCCAACCTGGGAAGAACAGGTGCTCCAGAGAAGGCCAGGGGTGGGCAGCCTGGGCCTTGGGTGACAGTGGCAAAGGCTCTTGGTGGTCCGCCTGGCATCCAGAGCTTCCTTAGGAACAGAACCCACTTTCTAGCAGAATAACAAGAGCCCAGCTAAATGACTACAGATCCCAGCCTCCTTTGCACTAGGTGTGGTCACGTGATTCTGGGACAGCCAATGAGAAGGGAGCAAACGGTTGCCTGGTACTGTCAGGAAGTCTCCCCAAGATGGGAGCTCCTGATTGGGACAGAAAAGAAGGACTGGAGTCCCAGAACCCATCCTGGGCCCCGAGGATGAGGGAGGGCCCACTGGCAGGACGTTGACCCTTCAGCTCCCTACAGCCAGCCTCCCTCATGCTGCTGTTACCCAGGAAGAGACTGGAAGCCCTCTCCTGTTCAGACCTGCTGCTGCATCTGGCTTTGGCTGGTGGACGTACACAATCACCCCCACACACTTCACCCAGTAAGGTCACCGCCAGCCTGGTACCCAGAGGGCACTCAGGCCAGGTCAGCTACTCCCCTGTGCTTCGGGGAAACCTGTGGCTCTTACACCAAGCCAAGGTGATTCGCTGAGTTTGCTAAAACCTCCTCCCCCTCACGGAGCTCAGAGGCAGCAGGAAGAGGCCCTGGCATGATTAGGATCCCGTGCTAGGAGCAAAGCCTGGGCTGTGATTGGCCCTCAGCCTCTGGGGGGCGGGTTGCTCTTTGGCCCTGCCTGGGATGGCTCAGCTTGGTTTTGGGGGGACCCTGCATTATGGGTTGAATTATATCCTTCAAAACTCAGATTTCAAATCCTAGCCCCTAGGACCTGGGAATGTATTATTTAGAAACAGTTTTTTCAGATGTAATTGAATTCCTGTTCCAAAGTGACCAGTGGCCCTGGGACAGGGATTCAGAGGCAGACACACACACAGGGAAGAGGCCAGGTAAAGACTGGAGTGACGTAGCCACAAACCAAGGAGCCACCAGCGCTGGAGAGAAGCGGGAGCAGGCCCTGCCCCAGCACCTTGAGAGGGAGCACAGCCCGGAGCACCTTGACCTCAGACTGTGGCCTCCGGAACTCTGAGACGACGTGGGTCTGTTCTTCAAGCCACTTCAAGCTGGTGGCATTTTGTTACAACAACCCTCGCAAGCTAAGGTGGCAGGTCACCACATGGCCCTGCCCTCCAGGAGCTCACATTCTCTGAACCTCAGTCCACAGGCAGGGACTCTCCTAGGAAGAAAGGCAGGTAGCAGATGGACAGGTGGATGGATGGGTACCTGGGTGGGTGGGTGGGTGGGTACCTGGGTGGGTGGAGGGTAGATGGATGAATGTGTGGGTGGGTGGGTGGGTAGATGGATGGATGGCATCTGGATGGACAGACAGACAGACTGATGGGTGGATGGGTGTAAGAATGCATGACTGGGTCGTGAGAAGGTAGATGAACAGATAGATGGATGCATGAATGAATGAGCACACAGAGGGGCAACCACAGGCTGCAGGGATTTGCCAACCACATTGCATGCCCATGTATCAATCCCGCACTGCACTTGGAGGAACAGACGCACCATGCTGCATGAAATCACAGAAATCAATGCAAGTCAACACCAGGAAAAAATAGGTCATCATTTTCTATAAAACTGCCACAAACTGCCCCGATCAATGACTACATCCATCTGTTTCACTTTTCACACTGTCTATTTTTAATCCTAGTGAATAACAAAGAGGTGGCAAAGGAGGAAGCCAGAGGTAAGACTCTGTGGCCAGGGGACCCTGGAGCACGTCTCCCGGGGAGATGACGGGCAGGTTCTTCCATGAAGAGTGACCTCCCACGGAATTCCTTTGCCAGCAAGGCCAACGGAGCAAGAGCCAGCAGCAACAAGGTGACAGCTGTCCCAGGCATGCCCTCCGCTGCGAAGGCCCCTCCATCTCCATGGCAGGTGCTGGGCTGGCGAGGTGAGAGGTGGACAGATAACTCAGGTAATTAGATGGAACTTGGGCAGCAGGGATATGACCTCCGTCAAGGTTCCAACCCAGGCCTTAGACTGCACAGCCCCCACACCCCCACCTGCCCCAAGCACGTGGCAGGACGAGCGCTCATCTGAGACACAGCTCGGGAGGTCCTTCCTGCTGGCCTTGAATCAGGGAGAATGGACGGTCATGCGGAGAAAGCCCTTGGAGGAAACACGAGGAGTCGGCCCAGGCTAGAGACCATCTGCCCTCCGGGTCAGAACCAGTCCCCTGTGCCTCATGGACACTCCTGAGCCCGGGGCCCAGCCTGGCTGAGTACAGGAGCAGATCAATATGGTCAGTGTCAGGCCGCCTCCAGCTCCAAACACTCAGCGGTACTGGTCCCCAGTGCAGAGCCCACGGGGGTTTCTCCCCTTCGGAACGGTAACTCTTGAAGAAAACTCTGTGGCGAGGAGAAAGCCCCAGAAGCTGCTGCCAGAAGATCCCCTTGGTTGATGGACTCGTTTCTGAGGCTCTGCACTCATTTGGCTGGGCTTCTGGGGCATTCCTTGCCAGTGCTGCCCTGGCTAATAAGTAATTAGAAGATAATTAACATTTGTAACATACAATGGAAACATCTGGACCCACTGACTTATTAAAACCTAAAAATTTGATTAATCAATTGTGGAGTGAGATGGGAAACGGGCTCAGGTTGGAGAACAGGCTTCATCCTGCTCAGCCCTCCCACCCCAGCCCACCCCAGCCCCCAAGTCCACCCGTGCTCACATCCAAAGGCAGCTCCACGCACCTCCCCATGCACCTGTCCCCCACCTAGGCCAAGCATTGGAGGGAGGAAAGACACCTCGCCCTGTCACACCAGCCAGGCTCTCCTATCCTTGGAAAGGCCAAGGACACAAGTGTGACATGTGAGTCCCCCCACCCCACCATCCCCTTCACTTCCTGCCTCTGCCCTTCCCAGACAGTGGCCCATGATGCAGCAGGACTCACCCTGGGAAGGGCCCCTGACTCCCAGCCCTCCACCCCTGCCCAGGGCGGGGCAAAATGCTCCCACAGCCTGAGCCCCTCCCCCAGCCCCGACCGGCTCTGGAGTCGGAGGTGCCCTGCACGCCAGCTGATCCCACCCGCGTTCCCAGCTCTGGGCTTCCGCCCTCCGATTCCCTCCCTCTGGTCCTGGGCTTCTCCCCTTCATCTTCCAAGCCGCAGGGCAGGTGTGAGCGAGCGAGTGGGAACCCGAGCTTGATGAGGCCGAGCCCTCCCGGCGCCTTGGTTTCCAGCCAAAGCATGAGGATGTTGCTCTACCAACCAATCATCCTCCCTCAGACAGGAGGGAGCTGAAATAAAATCCTGGTGTTTCTGTGATCGTGGGAAAAAGCCAATTAGGACTGCAGGGAGCCTCTCCAGCAACGCGGAGGAGAGGAGAGCATGATCCTCAGGCAGCTCCTTGACTGTCGCACGAAGCCCTTTTCTGGGTACAGTTCTGGAGAAAGCCAGGATGGAGTGGCCCCCGTTTCCTCTCTGCGGAGAAGTGCTGGGGGAGACGCAGCGGAGAGCGCCCCCTTCTGCTCATCATCCCCGCCTCCACCCCATAGCCTGGCCTCTCTCCTGCTGGGTGGGGCAGGCTGGGGCAGTCACATGATTCAGGTGGAAGCTGTCAATCATGGAATTTGAACCCTCGGGCCACACGGATTGGTTCCAGGGGTGGGCAAGTAATGTGAAGGGAGCCAATGAGAGGCCTGCCCTGGGATTTCTCTCCCTGGAGCCAAGGAAAGAGGCTCCTCTGTCCCCCGCAGAGATTGAAAACAGCAAAGCCAAGAGGCAATTGACCGTTTGCTCCTGTCCAGCATGCCTAAAGGGACACAGCCAGGCCACAGTGAGGCCGAGGAGTGACCTGGGGTGGCAGCAGAAGAAGGCTGGCAGCCCTCAGCCCCGGTTCGCTGGCCTGCACCCCATATGCACCCTCACCCTGGCCTCAAGGGTTCCTTATTTCTGCTTAAGACCACGCGGTTTCTGTCTGCTCCTTCCAACCACAGCACTGACTGACGCAAACACCCCTCTTGCTCCTGGCTGTTCCTGGCAAAGGGGCAGTCACGCCACCAGAGAGGAAGGCTTGGAAAACAAACAATAACTAAATAAACGCAGACCCGAGAATATGATATTTAGCACGTTAAGATGACCGACAAATTAGTGGGGAGGAAAGTTTGGTCTACTTAGAGAAACAAGCCGTTGTGAATACTCTAAAAGGCCCGTGGCTGCCCTCCTGTCCTGGGAATGCAGCCCCCGGCTGTTCTAGGCAGGGATCCTCCTCCTTGGCCACTGCAGAAGCCCTGTCCCTCCTCCCTCCTCCAGAGCAGCGCTTTTCCTGCAGAAGCTTCCGCCTTAGGGGATTTTTACCTGGTTTCCCAACGGACAGAGCAGATGACATCGGTGGCTCTCTGGAGGAGACAGCAGGTTCTCCACCAGACTTCCAACAGCCAGAAGGCCTAGGACCCAGGGGGCCAGAAAATCTCCTCCACTCGGGGGACCCTCGCCCCCAGTCTAGAATCCTGAGCTGGGAGTGAGTAAGCTGAGAGCAACTTGGGCAAGGCAGGCCACCAAGGCAAGAGGCCGGCAGAAGTCCACCTGAGCCTGCCCTTTGCCTCCACCCTAGATGGGGACTGAGGCCTGCTGCTGGGGTGAGTTGACCAGGAGCCACACTGAGACCCTCCGGGCTCCCGACCCTGTGATCCTGTCCTGGGTCGCAACCCCAGGCCTCATCTCAATCATACGTCAGGTTCCTCCCACCCCCTCCTTTTAAATCAGTGCACAGCTCTGAGTCACTCCCCAAGGCCCACTCACCACGGCAGTGGAGGGAAATTGGCCAGGAGAGACAACTCAGTCACTTAGGGCCACGAACCTACTAGGCGACCAATTTGCAGAGGACTTGTCCTTAACTTGTGCCACCGGCAAGGTCTGCACAGGCAATTTGGGTCTATCAGCCTTTAAATTATAGACGGCGGCATCATTCCGTCAGACCTGCTGCAGAGGCGAGGTGGAGCGACTCTGGGGTGAGTGACAGTTCCAATAACCGCGTTCCTGCCAGGAAAATAGCATTACCACGTGGAGGTGCTTGCGAGAGTATTGAACTTCAGGAAGA